GTTGAGAGCCTATTGACTGGATTCCGCTAATCAAATCAATGAGAAGTTACAGCAAGTTGTGCAGCTTAAACACAAGCACTTTTCCTCGAAGCTGGTGCTGCTTATACCAAGCTGATTGATCACACTATCTCACACCTAAGCACACACTTATGACACTGTCTATACCTCTCAAATGATTACACGTTTAAGCTCATGAAAGACAAGCATAAAGATTGAAGATCGCTCAGACTTTGGAATTCTAGATTCTGGATCTCGTCTCTTGCTTTTGCTCCTCAACACGTTATTCTCCTTCTGGACTCCTCCACTTCCAAACTAGCCGTTGGATAGTCTCCAGAAGATTGTCTTCTAATTTACCCGTTGGACAGAACTGTATCAAGAAGATTGCGTAGCCGTTGAGAGTCAAAATCCGAGTCTCCGCTGAATCTGGTTGCCCATATAATAAGAGATTTAGTTTCCATAAGTAAAGCTTCTCCATTTTAGAAATAAAATTGTCGTGGGATTTGATTGTCAATCAATTTAGGATATCTTGCTATATAAATATTCCTTGCTAAATAGCCTTTTAAGATCGAATCAATCAATTCTTTCCATTGGTGAAATCCAAACCATATCACTATCCGTTCTATGCTTTCTGAATTTTTGTCATGTTCTAAACTTATGTCAGAATGGGAACATACGAAGTTCTTCCGTGCAGTATAAAGTCTGAACTTCTTCATATGCAGTATAAAGTTTGAATCTTTTATCTTGAAGTAATTTCACAATCTGGACAAGATCGCCATATGTTTCTCTTCCACTTCAAAGCATTTATCAGACTTACAAAACACTCATGGACAGTTTTGTCAACTTCAAAATATGTTATGAGATTTTCCCAATAGTAACAAAACAAACACTGAATGAGGGAGGTGCGTGACCGCATGAGACTAAGAGCGAGAGTGGAAAGTGAGAGGCGTGAGATTGAGCGAGAGTCGAGAGGGATAAGCGAGAGAGTATGGGAAATTAGAGTTTTGAGAAATGTTTTATCAATCCGGTTCGGGCAGTCTAGGTGGATCAATTAACACTGGAACTGGACCAATAATCACAGGCTGCAAATTTTAGGAATCGCATTCTAGCTCCATGCTAACCCCTATTAAAAATAACATATGAAGTATTAATTTTTGTCAAGCCATGGTTTCGGAGAGAGTTGAACAGTTGACTAAATAGGATAAAAACATTAAAGTTTGTGTCATGTCTTCGTTCTTCTCTTTAATAGAGTGCCCATTGAGTTGCTGATTATTATATTCTTTCTTATCTTTATCTTTTCATTAATTAGTCAAGGGCCCTTACGCAAACTTAAACAAACGATAAACATCATCGCGAACTGTCAGAAAGATGACGCATAATTTCACTATTCATAATTTCTATTGATAATACGGGTCACCATAGCCTTTGCAGAGTACTCTTTATAAATGTGCGTAGATCGCCCCATCTAGACATACCCGTCTATCATAGAAAGCCGACGTGCTCCAAAGTTACTTTACAAAATAATTCATAAAATTATACCACGACATACAGGAAATAATACATATTCTTATATATCAAAACCTCCGTTACTCAACCACTCATAGAAGAACATAAAGTTAATCGGTTCGAAACCAACCTAATGCTTCATTAAACAACTGTACAGAAGAAGTTCGAGCATTATACATCGCGAATCTATATCATGTAATGAGTCACCAGTTTCCTTGTCAACCAAAATAGGGTCGAGAAAACACGAGGTTTTCCATCAGCAATTCATGGTATGTTTAAATAGTCTTGGTCTACTATAAGAAATTGATAGCATGTCTTTCATTAAAGATCGAATTATCCTCTTACGAACACTCTTTCTTTCTGGGCTTGCTGCCGCTATACCTAGAATCACTCTTTTCACCGCAGAAGATTAGATACAAATTTGCAGGCCGATGTGTTCCTAGAAAAATGATGCCATTGCAACCCAATAATTTATGGGAGCCACAAACGGGGTCGGCACTGTTTCTCTCCGCCCCCATTGCCACACGTAATTGTGTATGATTGTCACGATTTGACTCGATGTCGTGGGGACTACGCTACAAAGTCTCAAGAAGTCTACACTAATCAAGTAGTAAGTACGCACCCGATTCTTATTCGCCCGGTTATAACTCAATTAGCTTGTCTCTAACAATTGAAGGTCAACGTCCTAACTGATATCGGCAATGACGTCAAAATCATAAAATATATTAGTAATACATAAGAATATGTCTATTGAGTATAAGTTTTTAAATCTAAAGCCTCGATATACTTAATGGTCGCGTTGTTTGTTTCTTGATCCCATTTGAGTCTTGCCAACTTCTCAATAATAAACCTAGAAATTGTTCGTTTTATAATACTAGGGGTGCAACATGTGTAGGTGTTGTAGGATTCGGATGTGCCATGTGATGCGCTTACCCGTAAAATAAGAACATTGGTCATATAATATATAGTGTTCCCTATCACGTTTGACAATTCCCTATGCTCAGTTACGCAATCCCTATGCTCAGGTATGCAAAGGGTGTAAAACTTAATTTTCTACAAGTTTGGTTACTAGTGAAGGGCTTTCATTGCCCAAATACCACATCAATGTGACATGATAAAAATTAATCAAAGAACCAATGACGTTTGTGGGCACTTGCCCATTTCATGCACCGACACGAAGTTGATATGAAACCTTAATATGATACATGGATCCGTCTATTGATTTTAGCTAGTGAAGCTCTCAACATTGAATTAGAATAATAAGGATTTTTCTTAAATACCCTATTATTGAGGAAAGGACACTGGAAGTGCTAGAACTTTCATACGGCGCAAACTTTAGAACTAAAACTTTTCGCCGGATCACTTAGCGCCACATTGGAGAAAAAACAATCACTTGAGTGTCTCCAGAGACAAATTCCGCAAAAAGCCACATGGCATTTTTAATAGAATTTTATTAGGAAAAGTACAACATGAGTGCCATAACTTTTGCACGACATTAATTTGTATGGCACAATTTTTTTTTCGTTCACTTAAGTGCCATATTGGAGTAAAATCGATCATTTGAGTGTCATTTCTGGCAAATTGTCTTACATGGAATTATTTATTTATTTTTTAAAATATAATTTATTATTTTTATTTTTATTTTCCTTTTTGAGTTTTTTTTCTTTGCGTTGGACGCAAAGGCCTTGACCTTGGCCCGCGGGCCTTCGTGGCCTCGCCCAGGGCCATGGCGGCCTTGTTGGCTGTGCGTGAGGGCCTTCATGGCAAGGCCGCCTCGCGCGTGATCGAAGACGGCCTTCGTGCCCTTACCGACAGTTGGTGAGGCACTGATGGCCTCAACCAGCACCATCGAGGCCTCACTAGATTTAGACGAGGTTGGTAGCGGATTTTCTGGTGAAACAAATTCTCTATGGGATTTACATGATTGATTTTTCAAATTTGTGGCATTTAAGTGAACAATTTTATAAATTTGTGGCACTTAAGTGAGCAAAATAAATTACAAAAATTGTTCATGTCAGTGTCGGCGGTGCCACATAAATCGACTGGCGTCCACGTTGGATTTTCTGAGGAGACAAATTCACCGATGGCACTGAAATGATCAATTTTTCAAATTTGTGGCACTTAAATGAGCGAAAAAGAAGTTATGGCACTGAAATGAGTGTCGTACGAAAGTTATGGTATTCATGCTGTTCTTATTCTGATTTTTATTCATACGTGGTTTTTTATGTAAAAAACGAGTCCGAACATGGACGGTGAAGTGACCGTTCATAACAAAATGATATCATATCCTTCAAAATTAATCTCTCTCTAAAAATAGACAAATCTCTCTTCTGTCGTTGTTTGTGTTGACTTTACTCTCTCTCACTCTGTTTCGTTGTTTGCAGTAGCTCGCTCCCTTTCCCAATGACTTTTAACTCAGTCATTCAATCGCCGTCATCCTCTCTCACTCACTCACTTTATCCACGCCAGAAAAAGTTGGGGCTTGGAGGAAATAAATTAGGGCTTGGTACTTCGTGCGAAGAAATTAGGGCTTGGTTTTTGACTTGTTTTTTGCTAGTGCTGCTGCATATACTTAGGAAGGTTGATGTTCGGGAGGTTTTTGACATGTTTTATTGCTGGTGCTGCTGCATATATATATATGTTTTGCTGCATATAGTTGAGGAGGTCGTTGTTGGGGAGGTTTTGGACTTGTTTTTCTCTGGTGCTGCTGCGTTTCGTAGGGGAGGTGCTTGACTTGTTGGGGACAATATATTGATATAAGACAACCTTATTTTGAATGCAATGATGTTTGATTTGAATCTAAGCCACTGTTAATGGAGTAATTGTTTTTTATGTGTTTCCAAGTTTGTACGCAATGTTTGTTGCACACCAAATGGTCTAATCACGTTTAAGAAAGTGAAATCAACAAATCACTTTTTAAAAAGTTACAAAGCATAAATGATAACTTTTAACAAAAATTGACATTTAAGTGATCACTTTGCACTAAACTTTGTTACGTTGGACTTCCAGCAAGCCACGTTTTTCGGAAAAAATTGTAAAATATTGTCACGTTGGAATTCCTGTATCTCAAATCGGAGTTGGTATTTAAGTGATTATTTTTTTACCAAAGTGACAATGAAGTAAACAGTCGAAAAGTTTTGTTTCTAAAGTGAGCATTGTATAAAAGTTATGGCACTTTTAATATTTTTTTTTCTTTATTATGGTATTTAAAATCTACACGAACACTTTTGGATTGGCATAAAGCGAAGTTATTCATTAACGTAGGTCTCCTCAAAGATGAACTGGCACAATGCAAAATTGGCCAGTAGAAAGCAAGAGAGTCCAGTACGGCACGTCATTTTCTTATTCAATGTGCTGTCTCATATGCCCTGTCCGATTTATTCAATCTCAGGAAAACACCAAGTGACGTGATCGGTGACGACGTCAATATCCCGAAACCACTATAAATTGAGAGACTCCCTTCACTCCACTCCCACACCATCCGCTCTATTGCACGTCCTCTTCTCTCAAACTAGTCACCCGATGTCTTCCAGGTACTTGCTAGTTTTGCTCCTGGGAGCGGTGCTTTTCGCCGCACCTGTCCTCTCCGAGGACGTCGAAAAAGAGCACAAGCATCACCACAAGCACCAACCCGGCGGTCGCCGTCTCTTGGAGACAGCCGAAGTCGAGGACTCGCACCACCACCACCACCACCACCTCACCACCCTCATGAGCACATTCTGGTCAAGGAGGTTGACAAGGAAGACTCCCACAAAAAGCCGTTCCCCGGGGAGAAACCACCCCACCACCACCACCACCACCCCCACCACCCCGGCCACATGCTTGCCGAGGAAGTGGTAGCTGATGAAAAAGAAAAAGAGCACAAGCACCACCACAAGCACCACCCCGGCGATCGCCGTCTCTTGGGGACCATCGAAGTTGAGGACTTACACCACCGCCGCCACCACCTCCACCACCACCCCGGCCACATGCTTGCCGAGGAAGTGGTAGCCGATGAAAGGAATAAGCCTTTCCCTGACCACAAGCCACCAAAGAAAGGCGAGGAACCGAAGAAGGGCAAGGGAGAGAAGCCGCACCACCACAAGCCACCGCACAAGCCCCCCACCGAGAACTGAGTGTGCGTTCTTCAATGAATGTATTTGTCGTGTGCTTATCACGCTTTCAAATAAGAGGTGGTCCATATAGTATCTGGTACTACCGTGTTAGCAGGTTGGTTATTTGCGTTCCATGTAATATAGGATGTTTGTACTTTGCTTGGGCATTTCGAAAACTTTACCCTCGTTAATACATGCTGAGTATTTGCTAGCCATGAGCTTTCCTTTGTTAAACTCTTCTAAGTATCCTCTTATGCAATCAAACATTGCCATGTCCCGCAAGCACGAAGAATTTGTTCATACTCCTAAATCGTCAGCCAACATAGATGCGCGATCGACTGGAATATGATTAACAGTTGATGAAAGACGTAAATTCGTTTTGCTTATTTAGAAAAGAGACAGCAGATCCTCATCTAAACAGGGGTACAAAGATCTAAAAATTCTGATCAACTGCTTTTGACTCACTTGTGAAGTATAATAAAAGAACGAATAATGAATTTTTAACCTACTGATAGCAGGACATACATGACATTATAACAATGGATGTATTAGAAACATTAATTTTTTTCTATTTAGATATTTTAACTACTTAAGACTCTGTTAGCAGATCATATTAACCTAAATAGATATGTTTTTACTTACCCATAATTAAAAGCTGCACTGCATGTCCCCACAGATTCATCCGATTTTACTTTTTGTAGATCTGCTTCAGTTGAAGTTTGACACTTGGCCAAACTGCTTTTGGAAAGATTTACCCAATGGTCCACCGATTCCTTTGTTTAGCATTAATCTTAGTCATAATATGAATTTTCATATAACATAATCTAGATTGGGTTGAGCTTTTCCTTAGGTACCTAGTTATAGAGTTAGAATGTGCGATTGTGACATTTTGAATTTCCACCCACTTTCGGGATCTATAAAATGATATTATCATCAATGCACTTTCTGTTATATCTCACTCAGAATTGGCCATTCTTGAGAATACTAACCGTTAGGGAATGGCTAGTTAGGATTTCGGTACGCACGACCCAATAACTCGAACCTGGATCGACACTTCGACCATAAGGATTGACGAGGGAATATTTTGGGCCATTATAGGCCGATCCAAGAATGATTATGGAATAATTTAACAAATGTTATACAATTGAGTCACGGGTGATTCCGTTTAATCGTTGTATGCATTTCAAACGTTCCAAAATCAATTTCTAACGATCGTGTCATTCGGAACTAATGATTGACCCTCGTAATTACATGACAACCGAAGTTACCATGGCTCGAGTAAACTTAAACGTGGATTGATATCAAATCAACCACGGGTCGACACGCGTAAACCCTAAAAGCCGCCCGTTAGTTTGAGATACACGAAAGTCGCGTTTGATCGATTTTGGCCACGAATTGGAATCCGGACTTGGGTATCGAACTTTTAAGGATATAAAAAATTATTATATTGGACAACACCGCGTTAAGCTCGCTTTATTATCGGTTCGCTCAGAAATTCGCGAAAAAGGGAAATTTGGCTCGGAAATTGGAAAAGACGATTTTACCCCTGTGTGTTCTAGAGTTTAATTGTTGAGTGGAAGGACATGTTGGTATTTCTACCCTAGTGGCCAAAAATTCTCTTGGACAACTTTGCCCTTGCCCTTTTTGGTTAATTACAAAAATACCCTTCTAGAAGCCTTTTGCCAAGATGCATTCCTAGCCTTTGGATTTTTGCTTGGGCATCAAGAACTCATCCTAGCCCTCTATTTTGAGAGATATGTTCAGCTCACACACTCTCTCTCTCCTCACTTTTCCTTGCTCTCTCTCTCTCTCTCTTCATTTTTCTCTCTCTCTCTTCCTCCCCCTTGGCCGAGACTCACTCACCACCGCCGTCCACCACCCTTGCACCTCACGTCACCACCCTTGGACCGCCGTGGACCACCGTGAGCAGCCCCCAAGCCGCCGTTCACGCCCGGATCAGCCGCTGTTCGCCGGATCGCCATTTGGGCCGCCGCCGTTCGCCGGAGCTCTTGGCTTGGCCGGGACTGGTGCTGCTGGTTTTGGCTTAGTTCTTAGCTTAAATTAGTGGTAAGTAACTCCCTAAACCTTGATTAGGTTAGTAGGTTACCAATAGATAGTGTTTAAGGGTTATTTTAGGGGTTAATTTAGGGGTTATGGTAGATGCTGAATTGAGGATTTGTTGGTGGCTGGATTTGATGATTATATGGCTGATTTGAATGTTAAGATAGGTAGATTATGTGACTTGAGCTTGAGCATATGTTTAATGTTGCTAATTGTGCTTAATTTGGCTATTTATGAGTGTTTATTGGTTGTTTTAATTAAATTCGTGGGTTAGTCTTGTGGCTGCAATAATCATGTGGTAGTGGCCGAATTGGATGATTTGGACATTGATCATATGGCCCCCATTGATTCTAGATTGGTTAAGGTTAATTTTAGGGCTTAATTATCATGATTATGTGCTAATTTTGATCATACGGTTTAGATTAAATTAGGATGTGATAAAATGAAATCATATGGCTTATTAGAGATGTGAAGTTGATCGTGTGACTTTGATTGTCAATCGCATGGTTAATTAGTCGATTATGTGCCGATTAAAGGTTTAATGACGATCGTGTGGTGGATTAGTTGTTTAATGCCGATCGCATGGTTAAATTGTTTAATCATATGGTTAATTTATTTAATCATGGCTGAGTAGTTGACTATGGCTTGATCGTGTGGTTTGAATGATGATTTCGTGGTCTAGAACGAAGATCGAATGGTTGAAATTGATGTTTCGTGGTTGATCTTGCACTCGATGAATAATCGTAGGACTTTGAAAGTGGATCATGTGGTTAATTATGGCTATTGTTGGCTTAGCATGGCATATCGTGATCATATATCGATGTTTGATACAAAAACGAGTGCGATTCATGGCATATTTATTCGTAGTACATTACATGTCATAAACACTTGCATTGGTTAATTAAGGAAGATTAAAATTGGCAATGCGTGGTTGTTTACGTGTGTGGCCATAATGAGTTCCGTCTAAGACGAGTTTTAGACGATGCCCGGCGGAAGTTCGGATGCTGTCTGGTACCCGACTTGTCGGGGGGGGTTCGATCCCAGACATTGCCGATCGCGGTGGAGGCCGGATCGATGCTCCTAAATGGAATACCGTCCGGTACCCGACTTCTCGGGGGGGGGGGGGTTCGATCCCGGACATTGCCACGCCCAAAGTAGTGGGGTGATGCCTGGCTATGCTGGAAGACCGGCGGGAGTTCGGTGTGACCTATGGTGGGTCGTTAATAATCTGGACAGCTTCGAGTGTTATGTGCATATGGTATGCTTTGTGCTTGATTATGGGATAAAATTGTGAGGCACGATATGGGACAGGCCGAAGTGATTTCATCTTATAATCGAGACTCGTGTGAATGATTGAGTATGTCTGGATTATTATTATTGATGTTATGCATTTTGATAGTATGCCATAGTTGTGATGCAATTCGAGACTTTGTATAATATGTGGTACCATTATTCGTTTTATAAGAACTTACCCTATTGGTTAGAATTGCATGATTAGGGTGCCGGAGGTACGTATTGCCCTAGTCGAGGCTTAGGTAGTTTACTTATTGAGATTTTATCTCATTCCCCGTTGTTAAACATTTCAGTCCCTCGACCTTGACTATGACTGAGCCTCTGCTACGTTTCGGGGTACCAATGGAGACGGAGCATTGGGTGACTGAGTACCCAATTGGTGAGGATGGAGCACCGCTAGGATGTTGTGGAGGTTTTTGATAGGGTTAGAAATCCCTATCTTTTTTGAGCTCCTCTTTTAAATAGAGTAGTGGAGCAGATCGACCACCCTATCCCTTTTGAGTATGCGTGGTCTGGATTTGTGTCCTTTAGGAAGGCTTGTATATGTTATCGTTGTGTGTGACGTTAAGTTTATAAAATGGTTTGTTGATTTGTTTAAATTCTCTCTCTCTATTATCCCGTTTGAATGTTTATTGAATGGAGTGCTTGTTTGGCTTCTGCATATATTCTCTTATTTTGATGGTTACGGGTCGGCGACGAATCCTGGGAGTCGCATTCTTAACAACCGCGGCGGGATGTTACGTGTTCGTAGGGTACGGGGCGTGACATCCCCGTTTAAGTGGTATCAGAGCAAGGTCAGCTTGATCCATGTTTGGTCAAAACCTGGAGTAATAATGAGCGATGACTTTGGGGTAGCTAGTTAGAGAGACTTGCCTTGATCACAGGTTTGTGACGCTTTATGCGTGCTTTGAGAATATGTGCTTGTGATTGGTAGGCTTCAATTTGCATCATACGGTTATCTGCTTATGAGTGTTGAGTGGTTTAGTGCTATTACTAACGTTGCAGGCGCTCCAAGGTAAGATCTAGAACCTTGCTAAGTGTGTACTTATGATGCTTGTTTGGGGTGATTGCTTGCTTACAACTGCTTACTGTGGTTCGTTGCCTAGAACTGTTAAGCCGAGTAGTTGGTTTAAGTCTTTAATTCCATTGTGGAATTAGAGCAGGCTTAAGTGTTTGGAGTGATTTCTGTGAGGATGAACACCCGGGGTAGAGGACCTAGAGGTGCATTAAGTTCGCGAGCCAGAACGGCAGAGGATCCTAGAGTTGATGGAGTTTTAAGAGCTCTAGAGGCGATTGGACAGTTGATAGGCTTGCAGACTCAAGAACGAACTGCTGCTGCTGCTGCTGAGGCTGCTGCCGCCGCCACTCAGATTAATCCGGGGAATGGAAATGGAAATGAGAATCGCCAGATGCACAAGTTGGTAGAGCAGTTCTTGAAACTTAAGCCATCAAAGTTCGATGGGAAAGGTGATCCCGAGGTTGCCACTCGATGGGTTGAGGAATTGGAAAAGGCCTTTGCACTTCTGGGGTGCACGGAGGAGAAAAAGGTGACTTTGGCTGTGTATCAACTTTAAGATAATACTAATGATTGGTGGAAGTGTCACGCTCCGAACCCCATCGATTTCGCAACATCCCTCTTCGGTCGAATTAGTGCGATGTCCCAGGAAACGCCACCGACCCAAACCAACACATCAGAGATAAAGCACTAGCGAAAGCCACAAAAACCCAGACAATAATTGACTAGGGGTAACAGGGAGAATATACATTCATTACCGTCCATCCCAATCCCCTACTCCGTCAAAAGGAACATCAAAGCCTCGGACAGGACCAAACTCGTGCATCCCGTCCCGAAAACACCAGGCGGTATAGGTGTGGGCCTG